TACATTTGGCTTCACTGCAAGGTGGTGCTCTGCGAGTTCGCGAGGCACGCCTGGCATATCCTCCGGTCCCCAAGCGAAAAGATCGGAGAATTCCCGCAAAAGGAGCAGCATGCTTGCAGCCAAGTCAGGGTTTAGGTGGGCTGATATACGCACGGTCTTTTCCGGCTCGCTCTCTATTAGTGGTACAGCTGCATCCCCATCTAACGCCTCCGGCCGGGGATGGTCGTTTCTCGTATCCACCAAGTCTACATCCAGTTGTTTTATGGTGGCTTGGTAGCATTCCCGAGCTTGTTGTGTGTTTCCCTTCACGCATCCCACTCCGCTTCCCACCGTAAACTTCAGCCTTTGATGACATGTGGACGCCACTGCCCCGAACGTGGCGAGGAAGCCACGCCCCAGTATGGCATTGTATGCTGATGGACAGTCCGCCACATAGAACTCCATCGCTTTAGTCTTGGTTACGCCTCCCTCGCCAATTGTTACGCGTAGCGTGACTACGCCTAAGACCTTTATCTTGGATCCGGAGAAGCCTACCAGCTGTGTGGTGGAAGGCTTGAGGTCCTCAACCCCTTTCTTCATACTCTTGAGGGTCGAAAAGAACAGAATGTCGGCTGAGCTTCCGTTATCAATAAGCGTTTTGGTGACCTTGTACTTTCCCGTGCGGAAGGATATAACTAGCGGATCCTCTGAGGCGTCAGAAGTGGCCAGTTCGGACGCATGGAACACCACCTCCGCGGTGTGCGCGTTTGCTACAGTTAGGCACGGAACTCCCTCATCAGGATTTCGGGGTCGCTTCCTTCCTCCGGAGATGGTTATTATTTCCAAGTCGTCTTCGTCCAAACGTGGCTGCCTCCTCGGGGGTGGTGCGTCAGGTGGCGACGGAAGCCTCCCCCTTTCCCTCCGATCACGGGACCTTGACCTTCTGGGCGATCTCGATCTCCTCCCTCGGGACCGGGACCGCGGTCTTCTTGGAGATCTGCTCCGATGCCGCCTCAAAGACGGCGATCTGGTCCTTTCTTGTTTCTTTGCCTCCAGCCTGCTTCGTAAGTCGCCGGGCGCTAGGTTTGCAAGGCTCAATTGAAAATCTCGACAGTCTGCGGTGTTATGTGAAGTTCTTTGGTGCCAATCGCACCACCTTCTGAATACAGGGGCGTCGGGCCGCCTCTGCGCTTCGGGACGTGATCTTTCCTCTTGTTGCCTTTGGGGCGGGACCTCGTTCCTGCTTCGCTCTGTGGCATAGACTTCCTTTTTGTTTTCGCCTGCCCTCCCTTTCGCCTTGTAACTATGCCGCTCCGGTGTCCGTCCTCGCCGAGGAGGGGATCGGTTCCCTTTCCGCGTCTCTCTTCCTCTTCCTCCCCGTTCGGCGGGGGTTAAAGCGTCTTCTAGCGTTATTGCCCGCCTTACCAAGTTGTCTAAATCTGGCCACGTCTTGATATCCTGTTCTTTTTTGATCAGCGCTCTCTGAAGCTCTTTGCTCTTCGTCGCCATCCTTAGGCTCCCCGCCGCTACGTTCGGTGTCACGCCTTGTATTTCGCAAGCGATGGTATTCCACCTATCGTAGAAGTTAGTCAAAGTTTCCCCTTCCCCTTGCGTGCAATTAATAAGCGCAGTGACAGTGAGGCGCCTCCGAATTTGAGAGGCGAACTTGGATGTGAAGAGGGTCGCAAACTGCTCGAAATTGTCGATGATTCCCTCGGGGAGGGAGGTGTACCATGTCCTGCACCGCCCTCCGAAGGTGATGGGGAATGCCTTGCATAAATCTGCGTCCGTGGCGTTGATCAGCTGCATCTTCATGGTGAACGAGCTAAGATGATCGTGCGGGTCCGTATCCCCGTTGTAAGTCGGGAGGCCCAACGACGAGAAGTTTGGGGGGACCGGATTTCGGAACAACTTCTTTGAAAGCGGGTTGTGCAATATACTGGGCCCTTTGTTCTTCCCGCTTCCTTTCCCGAAGCTTGTTTGTAGGTGCTCCTCTAGGAAGCTCAAGTCAGTTTCCGGCCTTTCCTCTTCGGTCTCTTCGTCTTCCGAATCTTCTATTTCTACCGCCTTTTTCTTCCCTTTGTCCCGTGGCGTCGCGGACGGTCCCGGCTCTTCTTCCCGCCTTACACTCTCCTTTATTAGGGAGAGTATTTGACTTATACTTCCCCGCATCTGTGCGATCTGCTCCCCCTGACTCTTCACCCGATCCTCCAGCTCTATCTCCTCCTCGACATTGGGCGACAAACCTCGAAGCGTGCTTCGTTCGATCACCTCCTTCATGGGAGTGATGGAGTCCCCTGACATCTCAAGAAGTTGTAGAAGTCTCAACTGGCCCCACGGTGGGCGCCAAATTGTTTGCGCCTAGAAAGTGCCAGGCGTTTTAAGTAAGGTCAGTGAGGAATCCGCCGACTTCTTGAGATGTGGGAGTATCCGTTGCATGGTAACTGCCGCCTTCTGCAAAGAAAGGTCCCGAGGCGTAGCCCGGGGACGCCCTCCAATGCCTAAGTCAGTAGTATTCTGTGGTGGTAGTCAGTATCAATAGAACGAAAGAAATATAGAGAGAGAATGGTTTAATAGAGAGAGAGAATAGTTTTTTGAGAGAGAGAATCCTCGGCCCCTCTTAAATGTGGCGGTTATCCCTTATTTATAGCCTCCCCTGACAACCTGTCAGATTCAATACCTCGTACTTGTTTCCCCGGTGGCACGTCTGCTGCGCCTTCTTAGTGCCTCGTCAGCATTTGGGCCCAACCTACTCACGCTTGGGCCTCCTTTCGGCCTTTTCCCCTTTTGGGTCCTTTCGGCCTTTTCCCCTTTTGGGTCATTCCCAATACCCATGGGCCTTGATTTAGATGATGGTCCCTTTTGGCCCAACAATTATGACGTTTATTCATTAAAAAGGAGGGAAATATGAATAAATATGAGTGTATGAGTACATGTTGGTTTTTTGGTTAACCAAAACCATTAAGGCCCTTATTGGTTTTTGGTTGACCAATAAGGACCTTAATGGTTTTTGGTTGACCAATAAGGACCTTAATGGTTTTGCTTTTGGTTTTTGGGATTTGGTTTTTGGTTTTTGGTTTTTCATATTTAATGGTTTGGTTAACCAAACCAAACCAAATTGACAGCCCTATTGCACATGCTTTGGGTTAGTGAATTGCGGGCTGGGGTTCACCCATTAGGGGTTAGGGTATAATATCATGCCCCAAACTCCGGTTAATTCATTGTCTAAATAGCAAAACTCAACGGGCGTACGGTAGGCTAAGGTACGCCCGGGCGCACGCTAGCCTTTGCCATATATATATATATATATATATATATATATATATCATGTGCTTAAATAGAATTTTAACACGTGAACATAATTAGGGGCAAACATGTTTTTGACATAATGTCGCAAGAAATAGTTGATTTCAATAATTCGAGTTATTATGACCAACTGGTTTATGATATGGTATCGGAGTTTGTTTGACGAAGTAGTTCTCGTGCGTTCGAATCTCCGCCATTTTTAAAAGTTGCGATATATATCTAAGCAAAAGATATGTGACGGGTCGTCTGTCTGTGCATATTTCAAATGCATGAGTTGGGTGAGTGGCAGGAATATCTCTAGAAAACACAAGACAATGGAGGAAGTATTTGGGTGGACATCAACCAAGAAGATTGGTAAGATTAACCGGAGCAAAAATGGAAATGTACCGGTCGTGGAGGAAGGGTGGACATTAGCCAAGACGAAGACCCAAAAGAATCAATATCAACATATCAGCGATGGTAAAAATAATAATGCTATAGCCTGCCGCCATGCCAACAAATTCCAAGCTTTATTTTTAGCTGAAGATGAAGATGAGAGCCATAGGAAGCTCTAGCCAGGGGCGGATACTAAAATTTGGGGAAACGATTATCCAACTTCCGATAATAGTTTCGTATGGGTATACAAAATATAATTGGTAATCCGGGACACCCTAACATTTGAAAAAATAATTATCCTACCCTCGATAATAGTTTGTTTATGATTAACAAAATATAAGTGGTAGTCCGTGTTATTCCAACCTAGGACACTACTATTATCAAACATATTCTAATTATGTTGCTACTCATTTGTTATTCTATTTTAAACATCATGCAACAGTAAAACGCTATTTCTTTATCCCCAACTATTTCAATACCTAATAATTAAACTACGTACACGCTACCCTTAATTTTGAATTGATTTTATGGTTACATGGCAAGTGTTGAAAGAGTCTTTTCTACTTCGAGCTACATTATGAACAAGGTTAGAAATCGAATATGTGATAAGTTCGTGAAATATTGTCTAGTAGGATATGTAGATTTTTTTTAACAGTGCAGACATGGAGTTTATTTATATTATTTTTTCAAAATATGAAAACACATCATGAATTTTAATAAAAAATTTATACAAGTATGATATTTTTAATATACGAATTATTTAATTTATTATTTAATTAAATTTAATTTTTAAGAGGACACCTCTGTGAAAATTTTCTGAATCCGCCACTGGCTCTAGCTAGGGTTGAGGGTTATCTTCTTGATTTGTTCATTCAACTGCTTTGTTATGCATAGCTCTGGATGGATAGATTCATTGGAATTGTAAGCAGCTTCAGTAGTTGAGAGGAACAAAGAGAAGATAAGGGCTGGAGCTACATGTGTAATCATAAAAAAAAAAAAAGATGGCAGAAAGGCACCTCAACAGGCCTGAAAACTTTCACTGGCCTGTCCCCCCAACCTTATTTGTTTGGCTGGTTCAAATGTCAATTGACCATCATGATCTGTCCGGTGAGTTGAATTTCGTCTTGACCATTGGTCGTCCGTGTGTTTTTGTTGGGAATTATAACTAAATTGTCATTTATTACGGACAATAATTATCAATTTTAGGACTAACTTTCTGAAATCAGAGCAAAGATACACCAATTACGAGAAACAATCATTCAACTGAAATACCTCAACTCATCATATTAATCATATGGAACCCTAGGATAGGCTAGTCCAAACAACAATTAGGAGTTTAGCTACTAATAGTCATATGGAGAAAAACATGATTACAAAGAAGAAACAGAACATGTGGTAGATATATCTTCGTTGAATCGAGATTCAGTCCAACCTTTTTAGTATTCTAGCTTCGAGAATCGGGTTTTCCACCTTCTTCTCTATAAGTTTTCTGATCAGAGCCGTCAGTTTTCTTTGTAGAACCCAAGAGTTTTGTTGTGTTGGTGAAGATGGTGGTGCACAGTGTTCAAGAAGACGCGCCTAGGCGCGATTAGGCGCTGGGCATGGAGGAAACGTGGAGTATTGGGCTGGGTGACTTACCTGGACGCAGAAAACGCGGAATCGCGCAGTAAAACGCCTAGGCGGCGATTAGTCGCTGGGAATCACGTTTCCCATATGTCGGCGACGCCTAGGGTAGGAAATAAAGGGGAAGCTGTTCTCCTTTAACCAAAACCCTTCATTTGACATTTCCAGCAAAAAAGAGAGCAGCCGCCGCAACGAGCAACCAGCGCCCTCCTCAACGCGATAGATCAGCCGCGCCGTCAGACTCGCCGCCATCCTCGCCACCGTCCTCGCCGCCAGACTCGCCGTCGACCAGCACCGTTCTCGCTTCGTCCTCGCCGGCTCGCCGCCATACTCTCCATCGACCAGCGCTGTTCTAGCCTTCGCCCTCGCCGATCGTTCTCGCCTTCGTCCTCGTCGGTCATCCTCGCCTTCTCTCGCCGGTCGCCATCATCAATAAACCACAGCGGGTCGGCAGCCAGGTGAGACAGTGAGAAATGTCGAATGATTTGGGATTTATTCTTCTGTCATATGTGGTGGGCAGAGTTGCTTTGTTTAATTTTTTTTTGCTTTTCTTCTCCACTACGCGTGTACCAAACTTGTTTGGATGTTTTGAGAATTGAGAATGAATTGATATATATGTGGTGGGCAGAATGGTGTGGGCAGAATGGTGTGGGAATGGATTGATATATATTATATATATATATATAGAGGCAGAATGGTTTGACTCTCAATTTTGTTTGTTTGCTTATCTTTATGGCTTATCTTTACATTTGTCATGTTTTATTAGGTTTGTTTCCTTCTATGTGAGAACTTGAATGATTGTTATCTTGGATATTGTCAGTTGCAGAACTGCAAATCAGTGAACTTATGATTGTTATGTTTGATCTTGCATGCTAAACTTTAATATCTATCACATTTTTTTTTTCGACGTTTAATCTCGCATAGGCAGCGACTAATCGGCCTGGGCGCTGGGCGGTGCCTCCTCGCCTAGATGGCGCCCAACGTCTTCTTGAACATTGGTGGTGCAACTCCGTCAATCTGCTCTCAGGTCCACCACTTTTCACCACCGGTTCACTGTTCGCCATTTCCTGAAGCATGACTATGCTATATTTTTTTTGTAAGTGTAAAGGTTTTGCTTGTTGTTTTCAAGAATCGACAACTCAAATCCTCCAGTTTGTGCTTTGGTTCGCCAGTTTTCACTGTCGATTTTAGCAGAGTGCAGAACCGAGCAATTCCTCCTCGCGTACGACATCCGAATTTACTTCCTTGTGGTTCTACGCTAGACAGCCAGACTCGCTATCAATCGATTGTGGGTTCGAACATTGGTATCACCTGCTCATCTTTGCTTCAAAAGGCTATCAACCGCCGCTACTGTTGTCATACCCATCTATTTATTCATTGTTGTCATGTATAATCAGGATTCCAGCCATGTGATGTGATCCAAGGGAACAAGGAAAAAAAGAAAGCAAAACGCTGAAACAGAAAGATTGTAACTACCACAGACAGACTCCTGTTAGCTACCCTTCTGTAATAATCCTGACAGAGCCAGAGTCCTGACTAGGCAACTTTCTTTCCGTTCAAGTTAGCAATTATCAACTGATTGCAGAGTTCCATAACTTCAGGGCAAGCAAACTTGAGCAGGTAGAACATCCTCATCCATGATGGCTCCGTCAGGTACCGATCCCCACGACATACACCGTTCACGATCGCTTTGGCGCAGGTTCCTGGGGTTTCAGGTGGTATGAACTTCACAAAAGGCTGCCATTACAGATCGTTAATTAGTTTATCAGAACCATCACGACAGGCGAGCAACATACTAAATAGATTAAGGGGTTGTTTTTTTTTGGCTTTCTACTGTTGAGTTACCTCAGCTTGGACTTCTTCAGCTTCGGTCATTTCGGAAGTGATTAAACCAGGAGTGACGATGGTGATCCCGATTTCTGAACCGACTTCAACTCTCAGTCCCTCAAACAAGCTTATCATTGCCGACTTGCTCGCCTGTTACCACCACAACATCCCAAAATGGAGTAGTCAATTCTGTCACTGATCAAATGGAACATTCCAGAGTAGTGCTAGTACTTCACTTACACTGTAGAAACCCATCTTAGGGGAAGCCATACGCCCTGAAACAGAGGAAATTGCTACAATCTTTCCTCTGGTTCTCCTCAAATGCGGCACGGCGAATTGGGTACAATATGCAGCACCCCAGAAGTTGATGTTCTGTTGGAAGACAAGATCCTCAGGTCAGGTGTAGAACACATTAACAATGTCCTAATGTATCATTATTGAAGGAAATTCGAGGGGATATATAGATACCATAAGGTTTTGAAACTCAGAAACAGGGGTGCAATCCTCGAACCAGGAGAGCTTGGTAATCCCAGCATTGTTCACCAAGTGATCCACTACAGCATTAAAGGGTATATGATTCCACATACCCAAAACAAAAAAAAAGAGGAATCAAATTGAAGTATCCATGGCTTCTACTTACATCTCCCAAAGTGATCAACAGTTTCCTGAATAAGCTTTCTGCAGTCCTCAAACTTGGAAACATCGGTCCTGATGAAGATGACATCCGGCGAACCCAACTGCCTGGCTTTCGCCGCGACACACTGGAGACGATCTTCTCTCCTGGCTGCTATGGCCAATCGTGCCCTTCTCCTCGCGTATTCGTACGTTAGGTGCTGCACAAATTGAGAAAACGTAACCCACATCACCCAATTCAGCCCACATCACCAAAACTGCAATTTTTTCTCGAAAAGGAACGAACCTCGCCGATTCCAGATGAAGCGCCGGTGATCACCACGACTTTACCCGACACATTCTCGTACCATAACGTTCGTTTGACGACGAAATGAAAAGCCCTGAACGCAAATAACCAGGGTAACATCACAAATACCGTAAGCCAAACCAGAGGAGGTAATGCGATGTTCAGGATCCTCTGATACACATCCATGGTGGCGGCTCGGCAGGTTCCGCCAAAGGAGAGCAAATTGAAGGGGGAGAAGACAGAAAACAACAATTCGAGGAAATTATCCCATCTTATAATGGAGATAAAAACCCTCCACGCAATTTGGAAGGACGGAATGTAGGGCGATGGAAATCAGCTCACGCAAAGACACTAGCCAGGTTGGAGGGTTTTCATTTCATTCTTTTATCGCCCCCCCATCCGAGAAAGATGGCTGAAGGATTGTGTTTTCCCCCAATAATGTATGCATATGAAGGGAGATCAGAATTGAAAAGTTTGTTAGGTGCAAGGGGCTTACTGAAAGAAGCCAATCTATGGAGATCGATCGAGTGGGGGAACGGAAAGAACAACATTTGGAATGACAAATGGATTCTTTAAGGTAATCTGCTAGAGCGAAGGCTCCATGGTGCAAGATGACAAAAGTATAGCTAGTCGTATCTATCGAGTTCATGACCTCAGAATTATTCAGGTTACGAGTTGAGTTCTACGAGTCGTCGAGTTGAGATAGATTGTGAGTTTCACAAGCTGAATAAAAATTATCTCAAACTCAGCTTGTTAGTAAATAAGCCGATCAAGTTTAGAATGAGTTTTTTTTCTCTCGAGTCGAGCACCGAGCTGCACGAGAGCAATTTGTCTCATTTGCAACCCTAGATAGAGCAGCTCAACAATTTCAATGTATGTATTAAGCATTAATTTGGATGTTAAGATTCTAATTTAGCGGTTCTATGAAAATGTATGTGTATGTGGTAATTGATCGTTCTTTTTTCTTCTTATTATTTGCCTATTATAGCTTCTTTTTCCTATTAAAACGGTTTAGAATTCATGAGAGAGAAGAGATCTAAAATCATAATAAATCACAAGAACAATTGGTGCTAAAATCTTTTTTTTTTTTGACAAAAGATAATCATATATTGGTGTTAAAATCTTAGCAACACACTATAAGAAAAATGTTTATATATTTGTGACGTATATAAACAATTTTTAGAGAAAATTAAGATATTTTGTCAAACTTTTCTCTCATGGTCTCCCGTCTTCCTAACCTAATACATTCTTTGACTTAAAATTCAGACGTGATTTAATATAAGCTATTCTTAACTTAATATTTTTGTTACAGTTTTAGAAGAATAACATACTAGAGATGTGTTAGCTTATAACCTTTTTAACTTCTTTCGACAAATATTTGTGGAAAAAACTGGATGTATGTTGAATCAAATCAAATTGCATTTCTTTGAAATCTAAATAACATCAATGTATTTTAATACTTTGTTACCTCAAACTTTTGTTATAATTTTTATGTAGTTACATTATATTTTTGTGGTGTAAGTAACATGTTGCATTTTTTTGGGTTGGGGTCTTACTTAAAAGTAACAAAATGTAGGTATGAAATATAAATTTCTAATAATGATTTATTTTGAAAATTTCATCTCTCTCACAAATTGACAAACCTCTTAGGAGACCAAAGAGAAATGTTCAACAAATCATCAATCTCTATCAATACAAGTTTGAGTTATTTTATATAACTGTGCATATGCAGTTACAAGAGCTTAACAATCTCTTTCACGAGGGCTAACACTGGATAGCGTGTTGCATGCTTAAATTAAGAAGATTTATTCATGACTTTGACAAGGAGAAGTTGGTGAAACTTGCTATCTTTTATCCTAATGAGTTCTTCAAAGATGTTATTTTACATCTTGACATTCATCAACTAGATGTTCATAAATTTGATATGAAGACAACTGAGAGGTTTGCAAGAATGAAGTGAATTGCAGAGCTTTCTAGAGAAACAGATGCTTCAAGAAAACATAAAGTGTTATTCATTAGTCTGTCGACTTTTGAAATTGACATTGTTGTTTTCTGTTGCCACGACAAGTGTTGTAAGAACATTTTCTGCAATGAACAACATGAAGAACACACTTCGAAATATGATGAGTGACGAAATCCATGGGCGGAGGAAGGGTAATTTTCCCTTGTCCCTGGACATGGGTAAATTTTGGGACGGTAAAAAATAACCCCACATATGTTTGAACTGAGAATAAACTCAACACCTACAAGGTTATATCGATAAGTTTATTTGCTTCTGAAATTAGTTTTGATACTACCAGTTGCAACTCCGAACGTAAAAAGAGCATTTTTAGATTGATATATTAATAACAAGTTTCGAAGTCGAATTGATGATCAGTTTGTTAACGATTGTTTAGTGAGATACATCGAAAGAGGCTCACTTAAGAGTGTAAACAATTAATGTATATTTTAATTCTTTCATAATATGAAAACTCGTCGTGGTTGTTTATGCAAACAATAATTGTATTAATTGCTTCTTTATCTATTAATGAATTATTTGGATATTATTAATTTTAATTTTAATTATTAAATATTTATATTTTGAAAAAACAATAGGGGTAGTTCTGAATCCCACCTCCGCCTCTGACAAAATAATAAACGATTTTTTGATTGGTTACACCAAGAGACATCCTTGATAGCTTGGATGACGAATGTATATATATTAGACATTTTTTCATATTATGAAAATACGTTGTGAATAATTGTAAAAAAAAACATAATTTATGTTATGTATGTTTCATTGTTGAACCTCACATGTACGACCGATCGAGGAACCAATAATCAAAGCTGTTAGAATGAAGAGCAACGATCGAATTACATCATATCAACTGATCCCAATGATCACACTGTATTACGTACGTAAGCTGGCAATCAGCTGCTGCCGCAGAGCTTCCATGGCGGCGCCATTTCCATCCTGCTCCTCCGAGCCATCATCATTACAATACCCGCATTCGTCATCGTCGGACATTGAGAAAAGCGCTTAAAATTTGTTGTTGCGGCAACGGACCATGACATCAGCAGCATCATTACTATCATCATGTTGGTGTTGATCATTCTTCTTCTTCCTGGGTAATGCCTCCGTTAGAAGTGGCGGTACACTTCCACTTCCATTATTCTTACAGTCATTATTAGCTTCTCGATGCTTATTCCTACACATGTACGTATAGATCGATCGAGTTGTAACGAAGAAGAATACGAACAAGAGATTACTCTAGTGGTATTTCGACCAACAAGTAAACCTATATCACCCGAAATAGTTAGCAAAAAACAAGTAACTAGCTAGTTTTTAATTACCATGGCACAGGGAGGAAATCAAAACAGTTGCGATGATGATCTTGTTCATCATCGAAAATCTCGAGCTTGCGATCGGAGAGATGGAAGACGCCGGACGAAAAAGAGGCAGGGTCTTAGCCACGGCGGAAGTCCTCAATATGGACGAAGTAGATACGACCGTCTTTTACCCCGTTATGGTCGGACGCAGGGAGGCAAATCGACTGATGTTGAGACTGTTGCTGTTTGAAGAACTGTTCTGAATTCGAATCCAGATTGGAGAAGGAAAAGAAGAGTTCTGGGCGCTTGTTTCAAGTATGGCTGCAAACGAGCCGAGTTAAGGAAGCTGGTTGGGACACTTTTTCGTAATTCAATGTTTGCCTTTTTGTTTTATTGTCTTTTCGTAATTCAAGCTCTGATACCAAAAATTTCAGCGTAAAAAATATGAGCTTGATAGAATCAAATTTTTCCTTGACGACAAAAAAGTCTTTGCTATTTTGTCTTTCATTCTCACATCTTTCATTTTTAAAAGGTCTCATTCTTTCTTTGTTTCCTATTCTTTTCATGTTATGATCCAAAAACATCTTTTTCAAATTTCATAAAAAATCTTGTGTTCCCTTATTTCCTTCGATGAATATTAGTTCTGATTCTATAGTTATTTTGTTATACTTGGTTTTATCTATTTTCTAGTTTCTGTTTTATTTTGTTTAGACTCGTTATTATGTCGGTGATTAGTTCAGTTTTAGATACGGCTTCTTCCAATGTTTCTGAATTTCCGATACACATTTGTTCTTCTACAATATCTGATACAAAGTGAGATAACTCTAATGTAACCGTATTTATGTCGTTTACTGATGTAAGGTCTATTGCGTCTATTCCTTCTATTAATTTATTTATATAATGAGTGTTTGGCATCTTTATAATTTTTCACTCATTTCTACGATCAGTTCTTGTAACTTTTTTATTTCACTAGTATTATCATTTTGATGAAGTATAGTTATATTTTTTTATTTCCTTGTTTTCTTCTTTCTCCTTTTCCTTCTGCTTATCGGTTAGTCTCATGGAAGAACTTCTTCCATCTACACTTATTCTTGGATAATCATAATTGATTGTATTACTTTTAGAGGAGATTTGAACAAATCTTCTATGGTAATGGCATCCTTGTCCTTAAATGCTAGACTATGATGACTATTGGTTAAAGCATAGTTTGTCTGGTATGTTACTGAAAATGGTTTACTATTTTCTTTCATGAGATTTTTCCTTTTGAATTCATACTTTATAATAATAGAAGAGTCAAGATTCCCATCTGTTAAACTAATTCCTTGTTATAAATTAATATCGAATTTGATTATTCCTACTCCTAGATTTCCCTTTCCTTTTGCAATGATACTTTCTTCTCTATTGATGAGTCGATCATGGGTCCCAAACCAGCGGCGGAAAAAGAAAGAATTGAATCTCTAGAAGCAAACCTGGAGGCGCTGCAGGCGGCGATCCAAACCGGGATTCATGACGACGTCCGTCGAGTGGAAGGTTCTGTTGCGGAGCTGGGAGGTTCGGTTGCTGAGCTGGGCGGCCGACTCCAAGCCTTGGAGACTCACTCGGCTGCCACTCAAGCTAGCCTAGACGAAATCCTTCGTATAGTGCAACAGCCACGACGCGAAGCGTCCGACGCCGACCGCTCTTCGGCAGCGTCAAGCCTGCAATTCCATCAAGGTGAAAGACGAGTGGATCACCCTGAGGATGAAAGGGATGACCGTCGTGAGGAGCGACGGGAGGAACAACGTTATGGACGGGAAGATCGTCGTGCTTTCAATGGGCGCTACGAGCGCTGGGAAGACCCCCACCACCATGGACGGTACGATCGTCGCGAGGAATCACATCGAGCCTTGTTTCCTGCTCGCTATACGAAGCTGGAGTTTCCTCGATTCGCAGGTAACGATCCTACCGAATGGTTCACAAGAGTTGATCAATTTTTCGAGTACCAGAATGTGGAGGAAGACCAAAAAGTCTCGTTGGCGTCTTACCATCTGGAGGGAGAAGCCAACCAATGGTGGCGTTGGCTGCAGAAATCATATGTTCAAGACGGCACCATCGTCACCTGGGAACTGTTTTCGAGTGAATT